GGATCGACTGGAATGGCCGGCCAAATGGACACAACAACCAGGTATCATAACATGGCTGGAACGGGAACTCCAGCAGTCATTGTTGTTGTCTAGAGCACGGCTTGCAGGGAACGGTATGTCAAGTGGATGTCATCCACTGTATATTTCTGAAGATGAGATCCGGGATGGCGGCAATAGTGGTGATGATAGTTATCACAACCAATCGCTACCATCTAAACAGTTGATATGTTTGATACCCGTTAGTAAAATGCCGGAAAACTGGTTAAACCGGTCACTAAGGAATACACCGGTAGACTATAAGCACCGTTTGCTGGAGTTTTTAGACGAAAGTTTACGAAATGAGCTAAAGTTTGACAACAAAATTATTATTAATACTAATAATAATTATTTATGATTTAATGTTTTTTTCTTATAAATTATTATTTTATATATGAAAATAAGAAAATTATTATACAGTATATGGCTATCATAATAGTAATTATCGCAAAATATATATTTTTTAATATAATAGAAATTTTTATTTTTAATAATCAATTATAATTAAATATTTATAACTTTATTATGTTATACTATCAATAGTTTAACGTTTATTATATTAATAACTATTGTTTTTTCTTTATGCACTATAATTTGCATTGAATTTTTTTTATTAAAAAATATGTTTATTATATTTTTGATAAAATATCACCAAATATAACGGATTCATATAATTAATTAATTAACTAATAATAAGGATCAATACATAATTACCTTTAAAAAAATCACAATTAAAAATTATTATTAACCAGTTGAGAATGCTAGAAAGCATTTCCAGACGAATACATTATCTAAATTAAATATTAAATTTATTCATACAAAATATTATATGATTCATTATAACCAAATTAACTCAATTTTAGTCATATATGGTATTAAATCACTCAATATGACAAAATAAACTCAACTTTATTCATGTAAGGTATCAAATTGTAACTTAAAAAATTATTTAAATCTAAATTTTTTTATGTTCTCTAAGAAATAAAAAATTATGCGAATCCTTATATCTTTTTTGTATTTTGGCCGCCATTTTCTCTAAGTTCTTAAAGAGATATAAAAATTTTAATGACAATCCATTAATACCTTATTTTTTATGCTTAATCCAAAACTAAAGTCAAAATTTAAAAATTCCAAAAAAAAATTTAACAAACGGGAGGACAGAAGGAAATATAGAAATCAGAAATACCAGTCCTTCAGAAGTTAGTGATAAAAATAGATTTTTCGATACTTTTACTAAAATGTAGTTAAAAACTACAGTATATATTATAACAATAATAAATGGATATTATTAATCAATTGAAAAAATGTGTTTTTATTTAATAATTTATACTATTTTATTGTTTCTATATTTTTATTATATGTAACTTTTATTTATTTGATTAATTTAATAAAATTAAAAAAAAAGTTTTATTATTTTTTCACTAAATAGCTGTAACAATGTGTAACTATTACTATATTTAAATTAATGTTAATTTTTTAATTATATTAGTTTACATTAATTAGTTTTTTTATAAATATTGATAATAATAAAAAAAATATTGAAGGCTTAAGTAATATTTATAATTGTCAGTTATAATTAGTTTTAAATATATAAAGAAAATTTAATCAATAAATCAGATATTTGTGAAAAAATATATGTGAATGAAATTATAAATTATAAAAAATAAGAATTAAACTAAAATAACAAGTTGAGAATGCTAGAAAACATTTCCATACGAACTCCTTATCCAAAGTAAATATTAAATTATAATTTACTTTTAAAGATCACATGACTACGTAATACAATAAAATCAACTTTAGTCATGTAAGGTATCAAATGATTCAGTTAACAAAATGAATTAATTCATAAAAAATACAAAAAAATGCAAATAATACTGACATCAAAGTGAATGGAAATTACAATAAACAATTTTTAAAAATTAGCAAAATTAAGCTAGATAAATTGCAATAATTTTTTATGAATAAAATAATTTTAAATCACATAAAAATTAAATTGCATTATTTTTTTGAATTAAAAAATATAGTTATCAAGACATAATTTTTTTGTTATATTGTTATCATTATAATTGAGTGTATATACTGTAAAATATTTTTCAAGAATAGTATTTTTTTAAAATCTATTTAATATAAAAATTTATATAATGAAACTTTAATTTTTTTAGTACAATAATAATTTATATATATTTTATAAATTAATAATAATAAACTGTAAACAATAAGTAGTTTTTTGTTGTTGATATATTTTGTCATTACTAATAAATTAAATATTATTTTTATGTTTAATTTTTCTAATAAAATAACAAATAAGTAAATACAATTGCAATTTACGCGACATGATTACTACATTTTACGATAATATATTTACGTCAAAATATAATATATTTTTATTATACAGTATATACAAAATATAAACATAAACACCAAAGTTTAAATTGATAATAATTAGCTATAAAAATAGCTATACATTGATAAAATTGATTAAAACAAACTAATAATATTAAATGTATAAAATATTTATTCGTGATTTTAATTATTTTTTTTTATCAATTCATATGATGATAGTTTAGTTTGATGACAAATATTTGTTTATAAAAATTTATAATTTATCTTAAATAATGTATACAGTAGTATACACTGTATATACAGTATAGAGAAGTATATCTCATGAGAATTAGACTTAGATCAGTAAAAATGCATAATTTTAATTTACAGAATATAAATGTATTAAATATATATTAAAATTAAATTACATTACATTATAAGTTAAATTAAAAGTAATATTATTGAAGTAAGATAAAAACTGTTTTGAATTTATCAGTTAAATTGATTGAATTAAAATTAGTCAAATTGATTTAAATCAATTTAATTTGAAATTTAAAAGATATCAATAAAGAAATCTTTATAACCGGGGATTGAAAAGTATATCACAGAAAACAAACATTACTACTAAAACATCAAAGATATCAATGAATAAATCAAGTTATTTATTTAAAAAATTAAATATGACTACAAAAATACATTAATTTTCCAAACTAATCGTTAAATTTTCCAATATAAAGTGTGACAATTTTAGATAAATATAAATTTTAGATTTACTATTATGACTAATTAAAAATCTAACAATGTTTATAATTTTTTAAAGCATTGACACATAAATAGAAATTTTCACAAAAAATATTATATACATTTATAATTACCTTAAAACTAATGCAATTAACAATAAAAAAAAATAAAGTTATGAATATATTTGTTTATTAAAATTGATCAATAAATTGAAATATAATTATAATAAACGATTCTATTTTTGATAATTATAGTAATTATTGATTAGGAATAGTTAATCAAATTTCAAAATTCCACATATCTTTAAAATATTTAATAAAATCATATCAAATCTGAAACCACCAGTTGATGTGATGATTGTCATCATACAGACCATACCATTATTTTTAATAAATTTTCCGATTAGTTATTTTTGAGATAAGATTTTGTTTTTTTTTCAATTTCCTTTTTGCGTCAATTAAGTTACAATTGTTTATATAGTGATGTTTTATATTTTTTTAAATATAAACAAAAAAATTATCAATATAAAAAACTAGTTGATTATTGCAAAAAAAGTTTACAAATTGTTTTTCAAGAAAATTTCAATAAACAATAAATAAATTAATAAATCAAACAAAATGAATTGTGTCATAACATCCGTTCAAATATTATCTTAATGTTTTCAATAACAATAAATACAATTTATATTTATTAAATGATATTATTTTAAACTAATTTATTATTAAGTATCTATAATATTGATAAACAAATATAAATATATCAATGAAAAATTGCAATAAAATATACCAAATTATAGGCATAATTGTGCATGCTTCATTCTTAATTTAAAAAAAACAAATATTTTTTATTGATAAGCAAATATACTGTAGATTTTAAAATATTTTTAAAAATAAATCATTACTTAACAACACTTATATGACCAAAAAATGCACTTATTTATTATATAATCACGTGATTAACACTTTAAAAAACTAATAAGTTTCATCAAAATGATCATGACAAGTTTTTATTTAAAATATTGTTTAATTAATTATTTTAAAACATTTGTAACATATAATGTATTGTACAGTAGATATATATATATATAAATATGAGATATAAATGTGTATATCATAGATCATTAATAAAAACTTAATTTTTAAAAWTTTAATCACTAAAGGTTAGTGTATTGTAAAATTTAAATAAAGTTAAATTATGTTAGAATTAATTTTATAATTGCATTACAACTGTTAAGATAAAAATATTTAATTATTAATTATTTTTTAAAAAATTATTATTTATAATCCARCTAATTATTTAAATATATAATAATTATTATTAATTAATAATTAATAAAAATAATTAACTATATAATCTATTAAATGAATTCCAAAAAACACCATGTTCATATTTTATAATAATTCTATATAATGTATTAAATTAATACTACAGAACTGTAGACTAAATTGAATATAATATTGTTATTTAATAAAAGTTGTCTGTAATGTATATTATAGCGACATCTAATGTATTGGAAATGTATTAAYATTACTATTAATTATTATAACCATTCAATAGATGGCAATACAATATACAGTAATGTTATTAATGAAAGTGAATGGCTTTTAATACATAAATGTAATATAAATGTAATTTACATGTATTTGACTGCCTTTACACTGACTCTAGTGTTCATCCCTTTTGAATACTATTATATGTAACAATCATTTTATAACCAAATAGTATTACTATTTAATATTACATAATATAATATAATACTAATGTTTTGCAAATAAAATAAAAAGTACCAAATTAGTCAACAATAGAGATAGACTGTTATTAACAATTGTTTTGATTACACAATAATACAGACAATAGTGTTGTTTACTCATTAAAGCCTTGAAGTGAGTGAAGCATTGATTGAATGGTTGAATCAATGAGTCATACATTAAATTGAATACAAGTTTTTAGTAGTAATTGTTTGAATCATATGTCATATGTATTGCGTAATCAAATGAATAAACAAATTAAATATAATATTTAATTGCAATGTATTTGTAATTATAATTGAAATGATTTTTCATTGATATGTGATATTTATTTTGCCATTTATTTTGAGTGAATATTTTTAAGTCAAATCCCGAAATACAAGCCATGAATAGGTTATCATTTAGTCTCGTGAAGGACTTCTTCACCAATCGAGTGCTACGACGACTGACCACTGATGGCAACGAGTCTTCACCGATGGAGTCAATACCGGCTAAAGAGGTGACACTAAAGGATGTTATGATACGATTGGAGCCAATGTTTGTATGTCTTCAGCGGATCCTAATATGGGAACAGCCCTATCACTCTGCCGTTTCTTTTCTTGCTTTTAATTGTCTTTATTGGTATGCATTTTCTTAACCATTATCTCTAATATCATATCCACTAATGAAATCATTTATTAATGTCATCCTATGTTTAGGCTCTTTGTTTGGTTCAATAGATTTCGTTTTTATTCATATCTTGGATTAGCTTTGTTTTGCATTCATTTCTTTAAACTTTGGACTCAATATATATGGCCTGAGATTAGAGGTATATAATTGTAAATATTGTTTTGTCAACTAAAGTGTTACTCAAATGATATTTTAATTTATTTATAATTTATATTTTAATCTTTTTTATTGTCCAACAGTTACACCAAACGAATTGACAGATACTGAGGGGTAAGTCATGTCTTATTGTATGTAAATTTGCAGAGTTTAACAAAACTGGTGAACCATTGGCTGTAAGCCAACGCCAGATTGGCTTCAATTTGCACCAAAATCTTATGTTTTAAGACATAATCCATTTGAATGTGACTTTTATTGTTATCAAAATTATATCAATGATTATAAAACGAGTCACAAGTTGTCTATTAATTACTTTTATTATTAACTTTCRACTATTATTTTCATTTAAATGTTGCATAACTTTGTTTTGAGTAAACATAGTATCTTATCGTTTATTATTTTGTTTATTATATTTATTATGGGATTCCCTTTAATTGAAGCTCATGTGATATACTGTATTAATTAGTAGCGATAGTGTGAATCATTTTATTGATTTATCATTTTTTTTATATCGATGTACTGTACAATACAATATAAAAATGTATATAACAAACAAACAAACATTTTTCAAACATTATTCCTACAATGAATATGCAGTTGTAAATGTGATAAATAGTTTTATATATATATTTTTGAATTAGTTTAAAATACAATTTGTAAGTCTATTATGACATCATAATAATTACTTTTTTTTATTTAATTATCAGTTGATCCCTTTGTTGATGAAATTAGTGGTATTTTCACTCATTATAATTGATTTGATTATTTTAATTATTATTTATTTATCATTTATTATAAAAGAGTTTATAGAACTCTAAGTTTTATATTGTTTATCAAATTGTTTGACTTTCAAAGCAAACAATTTGAAAGTTTTAGTTAACTAAAAATAAATTAAAAATATTATTTCAATGTTAAAATTTGTTTTAATTTTTTTTAATGAGCCAAAGGCCCCGATTTTTTCAAAACTATTTCTAAGTATATTATACTTTGTTTTTGTGTTTTAGTAATTTGTATTAAAGTTATTGCAATGTATTAGTAATTTTTCGGCTTTTTATAACTTATGTAATCACGAGTTTGTTATATAAGTTTTGCGCGTTTGAAATAGTTTTTTGTTTGTTTATATCAAACAACTTATGCGAAACTTTAGCTAAAATTCATGCAATCAATTGCTATTGAGTTGAGCACTGAATTATTATGACAACATTTTGAAGTAATAATTAAAAAAATTGTTAAATTTATTTTGTATTAGATGGACACCCGTTCACCCGCAAGTGCTGAGTGCACCCGAAATTAACCACTATATTAACGAAATATATATTATGTCAAAAGCTACCATCTTATGGTTCATTAGATTAAGACGTGAAAAACATTTAAAATTTTTTATAATTACAACATTTATATTAGTCATGAGTGCTATTATCGGACGACTGGTTCCCGGAGCCCTAATTGTATACTCTATTAGTAAGTATTATTGTATTTAAATTATATTTTTAAAATTAATACAAAATTGATTGGTTTAATAGCAATGATATTGGCTTTGGGTCCGGGAGTTGTTTTATATGTATTACCAGAAGGTTTATATGATGTTTTGAGAAATTATTTTATTCCCAATCAAAATGATGATGAAATTGATTGTAAAGAATCTCCTGATAAGAAACTAAGTGATGATATATCTGAAAAACAGAGACTTTCTGAGAGTGCACTCCACAACTTCTTACTCACCACTGACTTTGGTGTCGATCCAGAAGATCAAAGTGAAACCTCTTCACTACAACTATTGTCTGAAACACAGCTCGACATTACTCTCGACAAAGAACTGGGACTCGATGTTCAGTTCAATGACGATGACATTAAACTGGACACCCGTTCCTTAAGTTCACATTCAAGTCGGTCGAGTAAATCTAGTGGTGGACTTCGCTTTTTTGCCTCACATTTTAGTCGGAATAGTAGTTCCGATAATATTGAGGACGACTATGAGCTGATATCTGACTCTGAAATACCTGATTTAGCCAAAGGTTTACAGAATAAGAAACAAAAATAGATATCCTTTCAGTTAATCATTAGATTATTACGTTTTTTTATTTGACTTTAATGACTGTCGGAAATGTCTTAAAGGGCACAATAAGTTATTGTCTTACTGTAAGCTAATAAGTATTTAATAGTCACTCATCGGATCAATACTTCATCAGTGCTTTCAAACCAAATTACAAATTACTATATATCGTAATACTTAATATTTAACAAATTGACTTCTCATACATATTAGATATATTTGCTTTGAAACTAAACCAAATAATGTTTTTTAAAATTAAATCAAAAGTCAAATCATATAATTATAAATTTATATTTTAAAAATCAGATATTTTAAGTGTTGTGTATATTTATGATTTTAATTTTGTAAAGTATCACATAATATAAACCAAATCATATATTTGTTTAATTAATAGTACCATTCAAAGCCTTAATGTGTATTAAAAGTGTATCAAATAAATAAATTATTGCTTTTCGTATTTAAATCAATTTTATCCAAATATTTATTAATATTTAAATATTAATGGGTTTTAATCATTAAATATGACATTCATTAGACAATCATTAAGGAGGCGACAGATGATCAAAAAATTTGGTCACAAAGTTTATGACTCCTTAAGATCGCGAAGACGTCGAACGGCTGACCTGATGGTAGCGGCAGTGGTAGTACTGAAGACATAGGCACCGCCGGCAACAGTCTTCTTACAGGCCGAACACTTCCAGATACCGACACACGTCCTCTTCATCGACTCTTTGCCACAGAAGGTGCAGCTGTACTTCGAGTGTTGTGTGATCTCCATCTTCTTAACCATCTTCCTGAGTGACGCACCATAACGGGTGCCATACTTTCCAACGATTCCCACTTTCTTTGTTCTCTTAGCCTATTATCATATCAATGGTTAAAGTATTAATTATTTAAATTATCCATAAATTTGATCAAAACATACCATTGTTTACGTATTGGATGTTTCACTCTGTGGTCACACTTAAGGAAAAGGAAGTCTAAACAAGTCGTCGTTTTCACCTAAACTCTGCAACAATTATAACATCAATGATGTCTTCAAAAGTCAATTGTATTAATAGTAATAGTCTTTGACTGATATTCAATACATCACTCATTTAATGAMAATTTATTTGTTTGTAATTTTAATTGCATTTCAAACAATCAATTTTTAATAGATATTTAAAACTAATAATTAATTATTAGTAAGTATTAAATAATTTATGAAATATTATATCTATTTTTAATTTGTATTCAATTAAATTACATATATATTGTAATAACAGTAATGTATATCAATAGATGTCGTACCACTTGTRCCGGTTATAYAGTATTAAACAATAAATGAAAATGAACATGGACAATTTTATTTAATAATTTCAATTTGTAATACAGTATATAACATTAACATATAACAATTTTATAACAATTTTATAACAATTTCTATTATTGCTCGGAATTTTGATTTATTAAATCATAATTTTTTAATTTAATTAAAACAAAAATGAAATTTAGTAACTTTTTAAATACAGTATAAGATATATTGTCTAAAATGTATATCTTGTTATTTTTAATTTTATAAGTTCTAAATTAATTAGCATGTTAATTTTATTTTGAAAAATAACATTTAATTTATTATATTTTTTAGTTTTATCATATATTATTTATAAATCATTATTGTTAAATTGATACAATTATAAATATTATAAACAATTTATTGAAATGATGTGCTAAAACAATATTAATTTGTTGATTCAGTATTAATTAAAATGTGATAATTTGACAACAAAATAATTAGCAAATTGTTAATTTTAATTTATTAATACTTATTTTTGAAAAACTACTCTAATGTTTAATAAACTTGAATTATAACTTTTATTTTAAATTAAAACACTTGTATATTAAAATTTTGATAACAATATCAATCATAAATTATTAAATATCATATAATTTATACAATAAATTCATTGATTTATTACAAAATTGTTTCCATACATATAAAGTTTATATTAAGTTATATTATAAATTCATTTAATTTAATAAAATGCTATAAATGAATGCATTGATAACTATTAGTCAAATAATTTTATTATAAATTATAAGTTTATATTTACGATACGATATGTTATAAATTGAATTGAATTGATATGCAAATAACAAATTGTGTCATAAAATAGTGTATTTTTGTGACAAACAATTAGCAAATAATTTTGTCGACACTTTCCACTAGTTTTCCCACTAATTCACATAATTTGCGGACAATTTTTCTGTTGACTCATATTATTATACAGTTATTGTATTACAGTATATATGATATATAAAAATAATAATTGAATTTAATTTAATATTATTATAATTATTATTAAAATAACTTATGATTCATAAGTAGGTCTGTGTTTGGGTTTGACCCGAAAGGTGGAGCACTTATTAGGTGTATAGCAATGTAGAGGTAGTGTAGAGGGAAAGGCATATAATATGAGGTGATATACACTGATATACATAATATACTGCAGAGGTTTACCACTAAACTACACGTGACGTCAGCTTATCATAACTGAAGTCTACTTTTTTTGACAACAGTTTCTTGTAATAGATTTTATTGTCCGGTTTGAGACCAATTGACACCAATTGTAAACATTTTTTTCTTGTTGTTGTTATCTTTGCATAACAATAGACAACAAGTGGACCAATCAGTTGCTATAAAACTTGATTACAAGTGTTGCCAATATTTAAGTCACTCTTTAGTTGTATCACTTGTTAGACGTATTCATCACAACCACAATCTCAAGACATCATGAGCTTAGAGCAGGTATTGTCAACTGAATCTATACTGTGATTACAATATCTGTATAACAATGATATAATAAATGGTTAACGAAATGTCTTACAATATCCAGAACTTCCAGAAGGCTGTCCAAGACGTGAGAAAACTGAAAGCTAAACCAACGGATCAAGAGTTGCTTGAGGTTTACGCACTCTTCAAACAATCCTCTGATGGCGATTGTAATACAGGTTTGACGTGAATTKTGTGACCAATTAGTGACAATTTTATTAAATTTTGAATTTTTGTTTTGCGGTGACCACAGCCCGACCCGGTATGCTTGACCTCAAAGGGAAGGCTAAATGGGACGCTTGGAATGGGAAGAAAGGTTACCATTGATTGTCATGTCATTAGGTTTGGGTCCACAAGAATTAAATTGATTTTCTTTGATTGATAGGTATGTCTAAAGACGAGGCTAAGGCTGCATACGTCAGTCGTGTCAATGCATTGGTAGAGACATACGGAGTCTCATAATTGTTTGGACCATAAAATGGTTTCACAAGTTTTTTTAGATATAAATAATAGTAATATATATATAATTGTGTTTTACTCTTGTATTTTGTATTCTTTTGGGATTTTTTTTATAATAGATAATTATTTTGAATACAATCTAATTTATACTTTAATAATAAATATTTTTTATTAGGATTTTTTTTGGTTATTTGTGTCATTTATATATAATTTTTTTCATTCATTGTATATACAATTCAATTATTTAAGTCTTACTCTATACATATACCGGTAATTACCTATAAATATATGAGTATAAACATAATAATTTGATATTTATTTACCTGTAATATTAGGGAAAATCCTTTACTCGTAATATTAATATAATCATAAATTGGTGGAAACTTTTTAAAGTTTTCATGAAAAATTAAAACAATTTTAAAAATTACTATTTATGTATAATTACCATGATAATTTGTTTGCTAATTGGTCAGATGGTATTGTAATTATTTTTTATTGCTATTATTTTTATTGGTGTTTCAATACTATTATTTAATTTAGTTTCTAGATATTTATTCTATTAATAATAAAATTCACAATTTTTATTATTAATTAACAAAATGTTTTTATTGTAATACTATAAAGTTATTAATTTAAGTGACATTATTTTGTGTCTAGAACTGTATGTTGTATAGAAAAACTTAAGTTTTTATTAAAATAGTTCAAAAAAGTATGTAATGTGTGACTTAAAACCACTAAACAATTTTCATAAATAAAATTTACAAAACAATTGTCATTAATAGTAAGGATTCTTGCAAAATATAAAMTCTATTAATTTAATGTCTAGTTTTGCATGAATTATATTCATATAAGAAATTGTAAGTTTTGAAATGATATAAAAAATAAAATAAAATTTGGTTTCATTTTCTTCATAATCAAATTCAATGACATTTTACATAAAGGATTATTTATAGGAAATATAAAATTATTATTTAAAGAATTTCCAAATCATTGAATTATTCACTAGACTTTGAAAATAATATTTTGAAATACCGCAACTATAAATTTAAACTGTATTTTACTAATATTTTGTGTATTATATATGAATTGCAATACTTTTTAGTCATACTTTAGGTATAATTTTTTAGATAATTACACTTTTTAGTGTAGATTAAAGGTCACACATTTTATGAAACAAAAATGTATATATATATATTTGTACATGGGTATATTTATTACAATATATTATACTGTATTTGTTATAGACATAGATTTATGTATCCATAGTATGATAATTATACAGTACTTAATGATGAYATTATTAAATTTGCGCAAATGTGCAATAAGTGTGGTTCAAATTGATTGTGAAACCAAATCGCTATTAACATTACTAATGATAGATTTAGTCCAATCATTGGTAACATAAAAGTCTAATAAAATAGCAAATGTCTGATAGGGTGACAATACTTGGTTATACCACTTCCACATTACGTACTCATCAATGGGTAATCTGACGGAACGGATGCCATTTCTCAGAGCACTATCATAAGTGTTCAACTTTTGTGATGATTGTCCCGTTGAGGCACCGATTATATACATATCGGTTGAAGTCAAGGATGTCAGTGGTTTAGGCGAATCGGCACTCAAATAGACTAATTGATGTTTAGGAAAGACATCCAAATATGACTTTCTGTGTAATGTTGACTTCAATTGATTGTTTAAAAGCGATGATGACATTGAAGTCATACTTGACTTGCAATCAGTTAAATGGATATCAAATGATTTATTTTTATGATATTTACTATAATTTAATTCAACTATTGATTGAATTTGTGTTAATACATGTGTCACTTCTTTGTTAGTCATTTGTCCCATAAATTGCATATCAATTATCACTTTTTGTCTCATTTCTTGAGTTATGCATAAACTATGCTTACATTTGATATCTTTTATATGAATCCCATAATATTGATAGTTATTTGTTAAAAATTTTATTAAAATYAATTGTCTTGGATTTGATGAAAACATAATAAATTTTATTTAAAAAATGTCTATTAAATTAGATTAAATAAATAATATATAAATATTAAGCCGAAACAATACAGTCTACAAAATACATATTCAGTACAATATATATAAATGTTTAAATGAATAATAATAATAATAATATTAGTTAAACTTTGAATTTAAAATTGTTTACAAACATAATCTAATTATAATTGAAAGCAAAAGTGACACCTATTAACATAAAATTGATGAACCTTGGTTATTGTGTTATAATCAAACATTCAAATCATTAAAAGTATTTTTATCAAAATTTTGATATTTAAAATAAACTCATTTGAGTTATACTTTTGTGTTTTTTGTTTAAATTAAACACAATTGAAATTTTGTATATATTTATAAAATACTATGAAATAGCAATGAAGCGACAATAATATGGGAATTACAATAATGACTTTAAAAATCTATGAGCTCTTCAATAGATTTTTGATGTTATAATAGATTATATTATCGCTTCAATAGATATTTTATATTTAGCAAAAAAATAAGGTTTAATAGGTTTAAATTTTCTTTCAAAAAAAATATATTAAAAACTAAAGAGTTTACGTTGCTATTTGATATATTATATATAATTTTTATTTTATTTCAAAAAATGAATATTATATTTTAAGTTATTATATGAAAATTTAAAGTATTTCCTTAAATGCATATAATGTGTAACTTTTATATCATTGTTTTGTTGTTTAATTTTTCTATAAATAATTATGAAAATATTTTGTCCATATTTCATGCGCTTTACAAAACTTAATAACATTAAAAAAACAATTTATAGTAATAATCAATTTATTTAAATATCAACACAATTTAGCTTATGATTAATTATTATATAAATTTTTAATTTATTAATCAATCTTGGATCAAACCAAAGTTATTAATTGCAAAAATAAAAATATAGACATTACTATTATTAAAATTTAATTTATTAGTTATTCAAAAATATATTTAAACATATTGCAAGTGACTGGTAATAAATAATATAATTGGTAATTAATTTTTTTATTAATTTAAAATAATAGTAATAATAWAGTATATATATATATATCAATATATAGGAGTTACATAAAATTACTAAAATTATTTTTAGATCGATAACTTACATTGAATTTACAGTATTATTATTGAAATATTGAATTAATTAGATACTAATATAAATAAAACATTAATTACTAAAAATGATTGATTTATTACATTATATCTATACATATTGTATATAATAATATATTGCTATATTAGACTAGTGTTTGACTGAATAGATTCATAATTGGTTGCCGTATAATAATATTGAGGATTGAATTGAATGACTGATTCCTTTTTATGTATAGCCCAGGCCAAGTAGAAAGCACTGGCAGATAATAATATTTCGATAATAGCATGAATGAGCTCAATGTAAACGGTGGAAGTTCCGGGAAGACCGTGTAAAAAGGCCGGGATCTCAGTTTCGTAGGGAATTCCAGTGATCTTTAAGAGAACCATTGCTGAGATGGTTCTCATAGCAAATGTTACAATCATAATAACACCGTAAGCCATAGTCATACAAAAATTTTCGGTGTAGGCACCGATAAAACCAATTAGTGCTGTGCCGATGGTCACAAACGATGCAATCATATACGAACCGGCCTTTAAACTGGCAGACGGGACCACTGCCCACAACAACAGCAATAGATTTGCCATAAAAACAAAGGCTCCGACAATGAAGTACAATACGGACACAAATTCAATTGTTGTCTTCACTGACTTAACCCAAACAACTTTTATAGACATTTCGGATAACATATCAATAAGTGGTGGAGTGTTTAACAAACGTTTTAAAAACTTATATTATATATACAGTATATAATAAATTCAAAATGTTTTTTTAGATCATAGCTTTCAAACTGTTAAGTAACTGATTTTGATATGAATTTAATCAGTTTATAAGACAACCAAAATATTGTGTTAAACTCGATGAATCTTAAAGCTGTCTCATATATATATAAATCGCTGACTACTTCAAAAAGTCTTATAGTCGCCAATTGAGACAAATTTTTGGTGCACAACATCCCAATGCTATCTCTCAAGTTGTCTCTATGGTAACGATCTTTACGAGTGGAGACATCAAGTCTGAGCTTCGATGGATGCGTCGGAAAGGGATCTATCGATGCACTCATAACATCAGTGATAGTTATCGTTGTCTTATTTACCCATTTTTTCAATTTATAGACTTTTTCATTAATCACACAAACATTTTTCTTTTTTATCTATATATATATATATATATACAAATCCATATAAATTTGAGAAAACATCAAAACTGTTTTCACATATCACTTATATTATGATAACTTCATTGCATCAATGCTTTAATAAATCATATTTGATGTGTATTTCATTTAATGATATACTGAAGTGTAACTCTATATATATATATATATATATACCGTATATATAGTACTGTTATCTAAAGAGAAAAAAATGATATTATTTAATGAAATGCAAATAATTCAGTCTTTAAGAACACACTATTGAAAAATTTAATTTATATTTAATAAAGACATTAAATGATAATTTAGTGAATGCCTGAAATTAATGAAAAATATGGGATACATAATTTGAAATATAAATTTTGTATAATAGTAATTATGTTAAACTTAAATGCTTAAAAGTACGGTATCTATTAATTAATTAATTAATTAGTCTTTATTAATTGCCATATTATTGAGTGGAGCAGTAGTAACGGGTGGTATGGTTTGGTTGTCATCGGATTGTTGTATCTGTTTATTATTACTATGAGTTGTACCTCTTTTGGTAGTTTTGGCAAAATGACAAACACATGGTATGAGAACCAACTCAATGGCGACAATGGCAGCACTGATTATAGTTGTCACGCGGACTGGATTGTGGTCTACAGTGAAGGCATACATACAGATTGTGGCTAAGAAAAAGACAATCCTTAAGAGTGATGCCATCACTAATGCTATACTATATGTGGACAATAGACTCGGTTCCTCTTTATTGACGGCCATCACTCCCAGCGCTGATACCAATATAGTAATGCTACCAAATAGTAGGATAACACTGGGAGCACCAGTACTTGGGAATCGGTCCTCAATAATGGCCGTAAAGTTGGTCGACGTATTGGTCTCATTGTTTTCATGTAATTTGTCGGACTCGTCGTCCAAATTATATTCAAATTCATTGACTGTACGCAAGTTTATGGCTTCAATAATGCCATCAATAAATATAAGACATCCCACTATGAATATAAACGATATAACTAAAAGTATTAATCGCTTAATCACTTTCACCGATAACATAGTTATTATATTAAATAAACTTTAATATAAACAACAATCTAATCATTATTTAATTTTAATTTTTTTTTCACAAAGAAGTCGACTCTTTTGTATTCACTATTGAGTTACGTTACAGACATTCAATTAAAGCGATTGAGAAATGTAGTCAAAAATAGATTATCTTTTTTTAGTGACATAACAAACAAACAAAAATGTTTTACATTTACAAAAAATTTTCAACATCTTTAATACAAATACATAAATTTCTATTTAAATTATCATTTTTTTATTTGCAAATATATTTTCAATAATTAATTTATAAATATTTTGTTTTCATCATAATCTTATAAATACTGAACATAAATATAATAAATAAATATTAATATTTTAGTGAATTAAATAAAGTATTAGATTTTAAGTAATAATATAGAGTAATACAAGAATATTCTACAAAATTTATAACATATAATAATAATAATAATAAACTGTATATTTAATTGTTGAACTTATTTCTTATAAAACAAAATCTTGTTTTCTAAATGTGAATCCATTTATTCAATAAAATATGTTCAATAAAAATATAAACTAAATGAACAGTAAAAACATAAATTAAATGAACAATAAAAAAAACATCCAATAATACTACAGCTAATAATTTATATCAAATGTCCCCCAAATGGCTTAAATGAAAATTACATAATAAAAAAATTATAATTAAATTTTAAACTATACATTGTTTCTGAATTTTATGAATTTTCTGTATATTTTTTTAAATAAAAAATAAAATGCAATAATCTTGTGGGTAGTTTTTTACGTTTTTATAATATTTTAATATTAAACCAAAWTATTKGTTATGTATATAGAATTGCTAAAAGTTTTTTAATTATAAACATTAATTTTTAGGCAATAATGTGGATAATAATAAATTTAATTACATTGAAAATTTTTCAACATTTAATAAATATTTTATTATGGTAATTGGTAATTGATAAATTTATATTATACAATTAATAAAAACAGTTATACTTATAATAATAAGATACTATATATCTATATTATTTTATTTAAATATTATTTATATTTAGTAACAATTTTAATAATTAAATTAATATTTGATCTATAATAAATTAAATTCATAACCTTAAAACATAAAATTATTATTATTATTATCAATTAAATATTAACAAAATAACAAAAATATTTTAACCATATAACAAAAATTAAAACATTTACATTATTTTTTAAACATTAATAATTTGAAAGCAAATAAAATCATTAACAAATGTACCGTTTGTTTATCAATCAATTAGTTGTTTAAACAATTTCGCACTGATTTTGTTGGTCCTCCTGTTGTATCTCTGATTCACTTTCAACGTTGTCGACACCGCTTTTGGTAATACAGGCCATCCTGAAGGCCAACAGTGCCAATAGTGCGCCGACAATGACATGAAATATGCCGACCGAGTAGTTCTCAAAYAGTGATTCATTTATGTGTTGTTCACTTCCGAGACTAACAGTGATGCCAACRACGATTGAGACAATTAAAACTATGCCATAGATTATTAAAAGTGC